AATAGCCTTTGCTTGGTGGCGTCGAAGAAAGCCACATGATATTTTYTTCGATGTGCCTGGTCAGTTTTAACCACACTAGTTTCTGCTCAATTATTCGATTTGAACAACTCTTTGCAGCTATAGCAGAAGATAGTTAGCCAGCACTTGCCTTGGACCAAATTATTGGAACAACTGTTCTAGTAACTCATTGTCTTGTACTCCGAAAAATTCTAATGAGAAGCCATTGTTTGTGCTAAAGTTTCAACTGCAAAATCTTTATGCAGCTGAAGAGGATCCAGAGGTTCATCTGGGACAGCTAAAGAGGTTTTCTTTGCGGGAGCTACAAGTGGCAAGCGACGGGTTTAGTAACAAGAACATTTTAGGCAGAGGCGGGTTTGGGAAAGTCTACAAGGGACGTTTRGCAGACGGAACTCTTGTTGCCGTAAAGAGACTGAAGGAGGAGCGAACTCCAGGCGGAGAGCTCCAGTTTCAGACAGAAGTAGAGATGATAAGTATGGCAGTTCATCGAAACCTCTTGAGATTACGAGGTTTCTGTATGACACCAACCGAGAGATTGCTYGTGTATCCTTACATGGCCAACGGAAGTGTTGCTTCTTGTCTCAGAGGTAAAATAGAAAGATTTTGTGCTCTCTCTCATGTCGTTCCATCTTTAAAGAGACGCTTGGTAATGTTTTTCTCTATGTATTCATAATTTTGGTTTACACAAATAACGCAGAGAGGCCACCGTCACAGCCTCCACTCGATTGGCCAACACGGAAGAGAATCGCATTAGGCTCAGCTCGCGGTTTGTCTTACTTACACGATCACTGCGATCCAAAAATCATTCACCGTGATGTAAAAGCAGCAAACATTCTGTTAGATGAGGAATTCGAAGCAGTTGTTGGAGATTTCGGGCTAGCGAAGCTAATGGACTACAAAGACACTCACGTGACAACAGCCGTCCGTGGCACGATCGGTCACATCGCTCCTGAATATCTCTCGACTGGAAAATCTTCAGAGAAAACCGACGTTTTCGGTTACGGTATCATGCTTCTGGAACTGATCACAGGACAAAGAGCTTTCGATCTCGCTCGGCTTGCAAACGACGACGATGTCATGTTACTCGACTGGGTATAATATAACATAAACTTCCCTTCATTCGCTCTGCTTCTTGATCCCAAAACCGTTGAAAAACGAAACTCATCTCTGGTTTTTTTGTTGGTTTGTTTAGGTGAAAGGGTTATTGAAGGAGAAGAAGCTAGAGATGTTGGTGGATCCAGATCTTCAGACCTACGAGGAGCGAGAACTAGAACAGGTGATTCAAGTGGCTTTGCTTTGCACGCAAGGATCTCCAATGGAACGACCAAAGATGTCGGAAGTCGTAAGGATGCTCGAAGGAGATGGGCTTGCAGAGAGATGGGACGAATGGCAGAAAGTTGAGATTTTGAGAGAAGAGATAGATTTGAGTCCAAATCCTAACTCTGATTGGATCGTTGATTCTACTTATAATTTGCATGCCGTTGAGTTATCTGGTCCAAGGTAAAAACTAAAACACAGATTTTATAACTATTGAAAGAAGAATAATGTTTTTCGTTATAAGGGTAGGTAGTGTTAATTTACCGTAAG